GCAGTTAGAACTTAGGAGGACTTTATATAGCAGAAGGTTAGGAGTTTTAATTAGTAATTAAGTATAGAGCACAATATACCTAGTTTTTTTTAATACGTAATACACGGTACGGCCCCGGCGGATTACTCTATCGGGGGGTATATAAATCTTATAATTAACGAATATTTTTTTAATTTCTTAATTTTATATACTCCCTATATTTAAGTTAGTTTTTTTTAAAGTTATACTATATTTATTATTAATTTTATTTTAATATAAGTATAGCTCTTTTTAATAATATTATTATAATTAATAATAAACTAGTTATTAGTAAGGAATTAATAGGGACGCATAACGAATTAATATAAACGCATAGCTCTTAGGGATATATAATATTCTCTACTTCTAATTAGTTTAAAAAAATAGTACCTCCCTATAAAAGTAGTAAGGGTAACTATATTAATATAGCTATTTTTATTATCCTCTTTATCCTAAGCTCTAGTTTAAGATTTTTAAAAATAAGAATACTACTATAACTTATATACTCGTTTAAAACCGCTATATTACCTATTTAAAATTTATAAATCTTAAATTAATTAGTAATATAAGCTTTTATAAATTTTAAATAAATAAGGCTTTTTTTTATTATATATTTAAAATATATAAAAAGTAAATTATAGTAACGTCTACTTAATTATTTTTTTTAATATAGTTATAATAATTTATTATTATTATAAACTACTTCTTATTAGCTCCGTTTTTTTTAAATATTAAGCTATATTAGCTATTTACTTATATAATTCCCTATTATTCTCCCCTTATTAAGAACGCTAAACTAGCTCCTTATTTATTACTAAAATAAGCTTAATATTTAATTTTAATTTAGCTAACTTATCTTTTTTATAAGCTTAGTTAGCATTAACTTATTCTTATTCTTAAGTAATTAGCTTCGTTTTTTATTACTTATACCTTAGTTATTAAAAATAGCTAAATTTAATATTTTAAAATAAATTTTATAGTAATATAAGATACTTAGTTTAATTAAAATAGTATAGTTTAAATTATAAGATCTAAGGGGGGCTAAGAATAGCCTCTTATTAAATAATATTATTTTTTTTATAAGCTAGCTTTACGTCCTAATTAAAATAAAATATTTTAAGAAAAGTATTATTTAAAGTTTACCTAAGTACTTAAAATAAGTACTTATATACTCTTAGTTTATAAGTACCTCGTCCTCTATATAAGCTTAGTAAAAACGTAGCTCTTAATTACTAATTATATTTTATATAACGTCGATAAGCCGATATAAATAACTAAGACTATTTAAAAAATAACTTTTAATATTATTATTACTTAACTTAGTACTAAAAGTAACGCAAATACTAAAGTTTTAGTATTTTTAAATAAAATAACGGGCTTATTATATTCTTAAAAATAAGTATATTACGTAGAAGTACTAAAAGATTAAGTATTAGTTATTAAACTTTTTATAGAGCTTAGTCTAAGCTTTTTTAAAAATATACTCTATTTTAATAAAAATAATAAGCTTTTATATAATTAATACTCCGTAATAAGTATACGGAATAGTTTAATTTATTATTATATTAATATAAGTACGGTCTTTATTACTAAGCTTAGCTATTACTTATATAATTAATTAATAATCGTTATTATTAAACTTATTATTATTATTATTATAACTAAGGTCTTTAATTTACTTTTATTTAGCTTTAAATATAACGTTAGAGTTAATATAGTAAATATAAAGTTATTACTAAACTTTAAGAAACTACTTATTAAGTATAGTTTTTATTTACTTATTATAATCAGTAATAATAATAAAAAGCTAGTAAATTAAGTATTACTTAATTAGTTAACGAATACTTATTAAAAAAAACTAAAACCCTTTTAATTTCTTATTATTAATAAAACTAAATACTATATTATAAATAAACTTAAAATAGGTTTACTTAGTAGCTTAGAAAAGAGGGAGCTTAAAATAATTAGTATTATATATATTATTAAAGCTAATTATTTTAGGGAACTATTTTTATATTTAAAAATAATAAAGAAAAGTTTAAATAAGCTTAATTAAATAATTAGGCTTATTAACTACTTATTTAATAATATATAGGATCCCTCGTTTATTAAATAGCTTAATTAACGCTATTATTAATAAGTATTTAACTAGTTTTTTTTGGTTTATATAAGCCCTAGCGTTATAAATATCTTACTAAGTAAATAAGGACTTTAAAAACTATTTTTAAATAATAGCGCGTATATTATGTACCTAAATCTTAACTTATTAGCTTATAGTTTTAATAATATTCTTAACTAGTGAAATAAGTTTATAATAAAAAGGGTATATAAATATTTTAAAGCTAAGCTTATAGTTATATTAGCTATATTAGGGATTTTTATATTATTATAATAATTACTATCCTTCGACCTTAGCCTTAATAATTAACTTCTACTTATAGCTATATTTTTAAGATCTTTATTATTTTAAACTTATATTATAACTAGGCTTAGGATATTTATATTAATTATATTAAAATATATACTAAATATTTTTTTTATTTTATTTATATTTATAATATTTTATAATACTAAAGTTATTAGCCTTAGTAAAAGTATTAACTTAATTAAAAAGAGTATTCGCTATTAGCTCTAAGCTATTAAGAATTAATAAGTTTAGAGTTTTATTTAAAGGAGAGGAGGATAATTTATTATTTTAAGTATAATAAGAAGCTACGGTTTAAAAAAATAATAGACTTAAAAGAGGGTTTTATTATAAAAGTAAATAGGGTAATAAGTTTATTTAAAAACCTTACGTTTTTTATTATAAATAGCTTTACTTATATTATTAAATAAGGCTAGTTATTAACTTTTTATTAATTTTAATAACTTATATAATAAACTAAAGAATATTTTTAAACTATTTTATTATAGGCTAAGTTAGTTATTAAGATTTATTATAAAAAGAAGAAGGACTAGGCTCTAGTAATATTTAAAAGAGGGTAGTATACTAAGTAGTTTATATTTTTTTTAAAAAACGGTATATAAAGTAGAGTATAAGCTATTAAGACTTTTTATTAAAAGGGGGGGGACTACGTACTAACGAGAATTAAAAAATAATAAAAAGCTAGAGAATATCGGTTTTATTAAAGAATTTCTAATTAAAATAAAAGGTTAGTTCTATTTTAATATATCGGTATAAATAGTAGGATAGTAGTTACGTTTTTTATAATAGCTCAAATAAAATATTATTTATTAAGTTATTATATATATAGGGATTACTAACTTTATAAAATTAACTAACGTTAGTATAGTTTCTATTTAAAATAAGAGATAATAATATATTATTATTATTAAAGCGTTAGTATTTTATAGGACGGCTTTAATTATTTAAGCTATTAAATTAAGCTTAGTAACGTAAGCTTAGTATATAAGTTATTAAAAAAGCTATTTTATAATATATAAATTAGTATAACTTTAAAGAAAAGAGGACGTAAAATGCGTTAATTATAGTTTTATAATAAAGCTTTCTTAAGGTATAATTACGTAAAAGAGATTATAAAAAGGGATAGGTATTTTAAAAAAAAGTAATAAAATCTAAATATATTAATAATAAATTTTTAAACTAATTAGAAGTAGAGAATGTTATACGTTTTTAAGAGCTTTACGTCCGTATTAATTCGTTATGCGTCCTTATTAATCCCCTATTATTATCCCTTAATTAATAGGATTAAATAAGTTATTTTATAAAAAGGTTTTTAGTTTTTCTTATTTAATTTAGTTTATTATAAACTTAAAGACCTTTTTATAATTAAAAATATAGTATATTTAAGAAGTTTTTATACTATTACTTAGGTAGCTAATTATATATACTATTTTATTATAATTTATTTTTATTTATTAAGCTTATAAATTAAAATAATAATAATAATTAAATAAAAGGCTTTATAAGTCCCGTATTAATTTATTAATATATAATAAATTAAAAAGGGATAGTAGTTTAAATATAAATATTCTATTTATAATACTTATTTAAATTAAAAAAGAGCTAATAAATAAAGGCTTAAGTAGTATAAACTCGTTATTTTATTATTACTTAAATAGCGCTTTAAATATAGTTTTATTTATTAAGCTATTTTTAATTTAGGGGTTTATATTCTTATTTATATTAAAATTAATATTTAAGGTTATTATAATTAAAATTATAATTCTTAATACAAAGGCCGGGCTATTTAAAGAGCTCTATAAGTATTCTAAATTTATTTATTTTTTATATAATTGCTCTTTATACGTTATTATAAAAATTTCTTTTTCTAATTATTATTCTTATTTTTATAATTTTATTAATTTATTATTTATTATTTAGTTTAGGTATTAGCGAGTAAGGGTAAGAGGTTTATTATTTTATTTAAAATTTATTAATAGTTTTAATAATACGGTCCTTTTATATTATTATTACGTAATTCGTTTTATTACGCTCTATTTTTATATTATTTATTAAAAAAGAGGTAACTTTAGGGGATTTAATAAAAACGAGTTATTTTTTTTTATTATTATAATACTAATTATACTCTCTTATTATATCTCGTTTTTATTAATATTTTAAGTTCTTAATTTAGTTCTTTTTATAAATAAAGATTTTAAATTATTAATATATATATAATATAAAAAAAAAGCTCATAGAGGCTAATTATTATTAGGGTTTAAAAAATAAATTATTAAATTTTTTTTTTTTAAAATATATTATTAGTGCTCTATATATACTTAAGCTACTCCTTTATTACTTAGTCCCCCTCTTTATACCCCTTAAGCTATCCCTTAAGTAACGGGGTCTAACGGCGAGGCCTGATATAGAAAGACTAGTCTGACCTTTGAAACTGTCCATTCGAACAAGCCTAGATTCCAAATAGTTAGTGACAATGGTTAAGAGTGAAGATATCACACGCTTGAACCAACTGTGCTCGACAGATCAAACGAAGCCAGGAATTAGGATATTGGTCTCCTTACACATCAGAGGAATAAGTCGTCAGGTGGAAATTGCAACTCTCCACGGTGTAGATCATTTCATCGCTGGAGTCGAAAACGTCTCCTGGAATGTAGTTGTCGACTATGCCATCACTGACGAAGGCCTTGACGTTGCAAGACGTGTTAGAAATGCCCCAAGGGTTATTTCGATGAAGGCTGTCAGTGTTTGGGACTTCGTACCGGAAAGCTTGTCGGTGAGAAGGACGAAGGCGCTCTAAGCAGAAGAGCTTTAGAACCAGGGAAACATTGAAATTGAAAATGGGGAGGGAGATTACTCACGATGCCAGAAACCCCGCTAGAAAGTTGCTCTTAACCTGGTCTATGACCAATTGGAACTCGTTCTTCAGCCAATGCTGATAGCTGTTTCTGACATGATGAGCCAGGCTTGCGAGTGTCATTCTGACTGCTTCAGGATTTCTCTCATCGACAGCGTACGATCGGAGTGGTGCAAATTCCACCGACGCGCCCGCCTGACACGACCCATAACGAATACTTGCATTGCTGCCACTTGAGTATCGCCTCCCGTTGACTGGCAAGGGCGAAGAAAGAAACAGGGCGTCCGAGGCATCTCCTGGTAAGGGGCTGACTCGCAGTAATGCAAGCACCATGGCGGCATGGCCGAGGTGAGTGAAGGTGAACTGGGGTCCGAGCTGACTCTTTATGGCCTTCGAGATGGCCTGACTTTCGTCTGTAGTAAAGGTTCTCTATATAGTTCGAGGTGTGCCTGTAGTATTCGTTACAGGAAGCCCCCAACTTGTCTTCGAGGAGTTAGTGACCACGGAAACCATGTTCGCTTGGGACGGGCTGTGGATGGTCAAGCCGCCAAGAATATGCAGAACTACTCACCGCACTTCTGAGCAACTCGGTGATGAAGTCATCTCGTGCCTTGTCATAATCTTCTCCTGATGCATCCACGTTGGTTTTGCATGCATCGAGGACCGGCTCGTTGAGGTTGGCAATTTTCTTGCCCCAAGGATGATGGAAAGGACTGTTTGCTAGATTCTGGTCGCCAGCGTTGAACTATTGGCCAACACCGCGCAACAAGTCACCGACGAATATGCGCGAGCTGATACTGTCCCAGTGGATATGGTTGAATGCACAGAGCACGTCCACTCGAGCGCCATTTTCAAGTGGAGTGCCTGTCTCTGGCACTTGAGCTACGACATAGACCTTGACCGGGGGTAACGGCTCAGGTCTCTCTTGGCGCGCCTCCGAAAGTTCAGCGGCAACTTCAAGCCCAGTTCTATCCGTTGCAATTGATGAGACAAGACCGCGGCCCCAACTCAAGGCAACTTCGTCGGAGCTCGGTGAATCATAGACAATGAAGGGAGGATCTTGGTCGGTAGCCCAGGTGACGGAGCATCCGACCTCAGGGTGTTGGAGTCGAATGTTGACAAGGGCGTTGGAGATTTGTAGCGCGATAGTTTCTAACGAGATCCCAGGAACATGAACTCGGAGAGACGTGTTCAGGTAGTTGTCGTACTGACCACGAGAGTTCGGCTCTCGTAAGCCGACCAAAGCCTCGGTGCCGACAGCGAGACGCCTCACAGAGCTGGGTCCGTCTGGAGAAGGATATCAGCGGAACTTAGCCGGCTCTAGACGAGGTAAGGGTGGGAGAGACATGAAAGTGTCAGCTTAATAGCTGGACTACGAGTTGTGTTATGTACTTGAGAAAGAAGGGCAGTATGGCGGTGGAAGAACAAAGAATCAGAAATAGTTAGCTAGTGATGTTGCTAAGCCTTCGAGGCGAGGTAGGATGGACGTAGGTGTGGGGGACAGGTGTCAGCTTCATGTCCAAATGTAATCAAGATAAGCGAAGTTCAAGTTGTTATCTCTTGCCCGAGTCTGACAATTTGACGCTAGGTTCTTCGGGATACAGCCGAACAAAGCTTAGCGCTGACTGCGTAGACGCACAACAAGCAAGTTATCTTTGGCCCTCCTAATGTCCATAGCCGCCATTCGAACATTCAAGTATATGCAAAAGCATAATCTCTGAGCAACGGGCCTAAACAGCTACTAGGCGTTCCATTTGGATCGGTCTAGAGCCACCTATTCTTTTGAGCCGTCACAGTACCGTGTCCGATATCAGAACGATATTGTGGGGTGGGAATTCCTTTCTCCCTCATATTACTTACGTTGTGTAACTAACTTTTACTCCGGCCATTCTTCTGTCCTGGTAGAGACGAAACCTCAAAGGTCATGTCCTTGCGAATGCCTCGAACAGGTGCTGTGCTTCCTTTCTCCGAGACGCTGTCTTCATCGAGACGCGTCCAGTCTCCCTGTCCTGCTTCGTCGTCCTCGTAATTTGTGCCTTTGCGTATCTTGCTCTTGGATGTCACTCCTGAGCCGCCAATAGTAACAAGCCCAACTGACCCCGGGTGGAGGCCATGAGATGCATCTGTTTGACCCAAAGTTGTAGGTCGTGGCGAGCGACGGTGCATGAAGAATTGACGTAAAGCAGGGAGAGAGCCGGCGATGAATCCAATGGCAGTCTCGATATTGGACCAAAGGGGGATGTTAGCAATGTGGACTGTTAAGCGATTCAAGTCAGCAACTACTCTACTCATGGCAGACCAATGGAAGCGTCATACAGGCAAGATCGTCTAGTGGATGGTTGTAGTGATCGATGTATGGAGTACGTATCATGGTTGAGACTGAGGCACTAATCATGTGACCGAAACGGTAGGAATCAGCTATCAAGATCATCTCAGACAGGTGCACTGGGCAAAATACTTACAAAGAGCCGAAAGAAAGGACGAAAGAGACCATGATCTTTGTCGAGAGCTTCATTTGTGTCTGCCAGAGAATGATAGCCGGGAGCACGGCACAGGCAAGGTCGGTAACGATGGTGCTGACGGTTGAAGTGTATGACAGCGCCAACATAGAGCTTACTGGCGAGCACTCGCCACGGCCCTCTAACACGATGCTGGTATCCCAATTGGCTTCCACAGGTCGGCATAACAAGAGGATCCCGACGAAGGTTGTGAAGAATGTGGCGACAGTAAGCCCCATCAAGATGTAGACGGCAGTGCGTAGCTTTGGCATTGTAGTAGCGATCCGTAGTGTGGTGATGCAAATCGAAGTTTTGATCGTACACAATACTGCCACGTAGAGCATCATCCAAATCATCAAATATTTCATCGATTCGACCAACATGACTGGGCTGAGGTCTGCATTGCGCGTGCCCAGTCCACTCAGCGCTCCCATGCAGGCGAGTGCGACATCGACGAGGTAAACGACCTTCAGGCCTAAGTCAGCATGGGCGTAATAGGGAAAGCAATGCTCTAAAGTCCTGCGAGAAGGTTTTAAGAAGATTAAGCTTACCAAACCACCGAGCATCAAGCCGTCATCCCAACTAAACGTCTTCGCCCGCAGTCGAATGAATGTCCTCAGGCACACCACAATCAAAGAGACGACGCCACCAACAATAGAGACCACGAATAGGCTGAGGCCAACGCCCTCAAGTTGGTAGACAAACCGTCGGTTAGGGTCCTCTGTTACCATGTTGACTTCAAGTAGCTCTGTCTCACAGTCTTGGCTCTTAGGTTGCGATGGGCTTCGCCGGGGACAGCAAGTCACCAAAACAAGTGACTAGTGGACGATCGTGTAGTTGCCGACAAGAAAAAGCCAAACTTCGAGGCGAACAAACTACTCCACAGATGTGAGCAAGAGTCGATTCTGGCTAGACCTATCGTTGACAGATTGGCGGACATACAAGATGGGTTATATGGAAGTGGTCTTCAACACACGTTGCCAGCCAATGTCACCCATTTCGCGCCGATCACTGGCAGAAAAACTCCTGGATACTTTTCAATCAAGATGTTAGGCGTCGCTAAAATCCTTGAAGTATCCTTGAGCAACCCTTGGAAAAGCTCCTACTCGCAGGGAAGGGTGCCTTTCGCTTCGACAGGACCAGGGGTTCTACAGGTTGGATGATTTTGGTAATACTCAGCACCATCATCAAATCCCAAAGAGGTGACTGAAAACGGAGTTGTGAGGCAATTTTTGGTAAAATGACCAGGTAACGTATGTTTGACCCGTTTGCCGGATTTCCGGCTCCGCTGGGTGGGACAATCAAGGACATTATATACCATGCCGTGGCGCACGTGTGCGGATGGACTTTATGGCATGATGTAGCTTTAGCAGTGAACTCTACCCAGGATGGCATGCACCATCAAAGATCATTGTTGCTGATCTTACCTACGAAACTCATACCTTAGTTGATGTTGCAATTGCTACGGCCTACGAACTCATGGATCTTCGAGTGTAGACCAGAACACCGATGGTCATGGCTTCGGCATTCGCCCCTTCTCGGTCCCACATCACCCATCATCATACAGGCCATGAAGACTCGATGCCACCTCGACCAATGCTTTCATTGGATCTCGACAGTGGAGCAAGTGGACAAATTCGTCAACAAGAAAGTCCCTGCTTATCAGGCTCGAAATGGTCTAGGGCATTTGCTGAAGATCCAGAAATGGTAAGAGAGAGGACGGTCTGACAGATTGACAGGCACCACGTTGCTGCTGTCACATTTTCTCCTATTTTCCTTAATAACCATGGTCCCCAGACCCCGTGATATGATTCGGTTGAAAATTGCCTGAAGATCGAACACGGCGTAAACTCACTTTAGCACAAACAACACGTTGTACTCTCCGTTAAACAAAATGACCAAATCACAGATCACCGTTCCCATTACTCAGGCCCCTCCATACAAAGTTCATGAGGGCAAGACGGCCGTCATTACGGGTGGTGCAAGGAGTGAGCCTTCCTCCCGTTTTCTTCTGGGATTTCTAGGAACACCTACGCTGACAAAAGTCCCAAGGTATCGGTGCCGCCATTGCTCAGAACCTCGCCTCCAAAGGCGCCAATGTCGTGCTCATTTATCTGACCGAGTCTTCTGACGAGCCTGCCAAAGCTCTCGCTGAGCAACTGGCAAAGGCACACAACGTCAAGGCCATTCCCGTCCGTGCCGACTTCAGTACACCCGATGGCTGCTCCAAGATTGTCGATGTTGTAAAGAATGACATGCCGCCCAGCGCCAAGACAGGCAAGCCGCAGGTCGACATACTGGTCAACTGCGCCGCTCTCTTCCACGCCATGCCTCTCGAAGCCGTCAACGTTGAGGACTTCCACAAGGTCTACTCTATCAACGTCCTTGGACCCATCCTGCTCACGCAGGCAATCAAGCCCCTTCTGCCCACCGACCGCTCGGGCCGCATCGTTAATGTGTCAAGCGTCGGTTCCAAGGTTGGACTCGAGTACCTGACCCTGTACGGCGGCAGCAAGGGCGCCCTTGAGGCCATGACGCGCACATGGGCGCGCGAGCTCAAGGAGCACTGCACCGTCAACTCTTGCAACCCCAGCTCCACCATGACGGACATGCTCCGAGGTGCCTCTGAGGATGCGAAGCAAGCCATTTCATCGTGGTACCCTCTTACACCGCTGTGTGGAATCCGAGAATGGGACTCGGATGAACAGAAGGAAATGGCTGAGAAATACGGCGGACGTGCTGGCTACGCTGAGGAGATTGCTGGCATTGTTGGCATGATTTGCTCCCCGGAGAGCGGATGGATGACGGGATGCCTGGTCAGTGCCAACGGCGGCCAGTGGATGGCTAGTTAGATATCCAGAACTGAAGCAGAAATTTTCCTTGTCAACACTCAACGTTTAGTTCCACCAGCATATGACTTCCATCCATTGGTGTTCCGCACTCTAAAGACCCGGCGCCTGCGGCCTCGCACCGCAGAAGACTTCTTCAATCAGCCACGGCGACCACCACGTAAGAACCCCACGCTCGAAACCATCCTATGCAGGGGCTCTTCAGACCCTGCAAAAGACAACCGATGTTGTCTGTGAAGAGGAGCAAGGATCTGATAGGTTGTCGAAGGGAGAGAATTGGGGTCCGTTAGCAGTCACTGGGGCTGACTCCAGGTTTAAGAGCATTTCCAACGTGGCACCGTTGGGACCATCCTTCAACAACTGAACGACTCGAAGACGCTCTCGAGAGCGAACCAATTGGCGGTCAGAAAAATAGATTATAAGAGGGGCAATTTCTGTGTAGGCGCAAGGCCACAAGTCACCCCATTGAAATGGCAAGACCCCTTGGACATTAGCGTCCTTACAATCCGAAGAATAAACCGAGCCAGTCATAATCTGGCCTGATACGATCAGAGGACGGCACACCACCGTTATCGGGATTAATGCTGGATTCGAGTTGGGGTTAAGCAAGTTCGTCTCAATTGCCTTGCTCGAGAGAATTCGCCCGGAATTTCGTAAGTAGCTTAGCAGTACCCATGGGTGAAATGTAGGTCACAACAATCTCAAGCCGGAGGTGCCATCTCTCCTCAACTGGCGCTCAGCATAGACCAGCGTTTAGTAGTGTAAAGGACCGAAGGAACGGTCCGGTGGGGCGGCATCTTGGCACTCATTTCGGGGATACGAAGGTATTCCCGCAACAATGTAACCCGAATCCACCCATGGACAAACTGATCCAAGAATGTTATCCAACGACTTGTCAAATTGCTTCAAGCGGTCTCCAACCTTCTAGGAACTGCGAA